CCTCTGCTGTCCCTCTTCTATGCTGTGATCGCCCCTGTCCTCCGTCCCATCGTCTACACCCTAGGGAACGCTGACGTCAAGGCTGCCCCGAGGAGAACCATCCAGAAAATGCAGATTCGATAATGGGCTGGTGATGATGGCTGCCGCGCACACCCCCCAGTCAGCCCCAAGTTACCAAGGATGAGGGAGGGGCGACATAGGCCTCACCTTAGGGAAGGACCACGCTGGCAAGAAGACAAATTCACCTTGGAAGAGCTGCTGGAGCGAAACCTCTCTCCGCAGACCCCACAGGTTCACACGCTCTGTTCTGACATCTCTTTTAAGAAACAAGAGACCTGAAATGGAGAATCAAGGTCATGAGCAGAGCAAGTTGACAACTAGGGGAAACATTACAAAATATCACCCCCACCAGACTATCCAGGTAGTAAAATTTTCATCCGCGGTAATGATTCTTAGTCATTTGCCATTTGTGCATACAGGTAAGGCCTTTGCTTCCTGGCTGGTACTACTGGCTAGTACATTAGCATGCCACTTAGTTTTTAATTACTACCTAATTAAATCTATCACCAGCCAAAAAGAAATTTCCTTAAGAAGTGAGGAGGTGCCAGAAAAGTTTCAATGAAGTCAAGTTCTTATGGAAATCATATCACACAGTGGTTAAGAGAACAGATTCTGATGTCAGACAGACTTAATTCACGTCTTAATTGTTTCAGCTGATTAGCTGTGTGATCACAGGTGAATGATGTAATTTCCTTGATTTCCTTATTCACAAAGTTAGGATAACAACAGAGGCTATTTCTTTGGGGTTTTATAAGGATTCACTAACAGAGGCTATTTCTTTGGGTTTTTATGAGGATTCACAGACTTATAAGTCACCAAGCTTAGGATCTGGCACAAAATAGTGTCTCAATAAGTGTTTTTATTAGTGAGTCAGACAGGGCAGCAGAGAACACAATGCCTAGCTCACACTGGATGACTTTGCTGGGGGAGAGGATGGTATTCTTGAAATGTCAGTGGCTTTGGGACACATAGGAAGATAGAGGAAGAGACTCCACATGTCACTGCTACAGGAAACTGACACCAGCACAAAAGGTAAACCAAACCAACCAGGACACTGAAGAGCAAATATAACAGCATGCAGGAGAGCAAATAACCCGCAGAACAAATAAATGAGATGTTAATGAGGATTAATAAGAAAGAGACTTCTCCAAGAGGCAAGTATGCATCAATAATTAAAAATATACTCCACATACTCTTTATTATTCCCAACACTACTCAGTTTTGCCAGCATTTATTGAGGACTTTCTGTGTGCCCATCGCTCTGCTTGACACTGTGGTGAATGCCATGTCAACGTGGGGCAATGGTTTTGCCCGGATGGTGCTTGCTGTCTGGTTGGAGAGAAAACACCGATTCCCATGAAACTGTCAGAGAACCATGGAAAGTAAGGAAATGGGTCGCCCCTGCTCAGCCCCAGATGGCAGTCTCAGGCTTTCGTCCCTGACCGCCTGGCCACCCCGTGCAGCTTCCGGTGCGTGATGATGTTTGTCTTCTGCCTGAAGCTCTTGCCGCACACCTCACAGCCATAGGGCTCCTCGCCGGTGTGGACCCTGCGGTGCGCGAGGACGACGTGGGAGCGGCTGCTGAAGCTCTGGTCGCGGTCACCGCAGGGGCAGGGGCGCGCGCCTGTGTGCGCCCTCTGCTGGATGATGAGGCACGAGCTCTGGCTGAAGCTCTTCCCGCAGTCGCAGCACTTGGAAGGCTTCTCCCCGGTGTGGACGCGCCGGGGCGTGAGCAGCGACGAGCTGCGGCTGAAGCTTCGGGTGCACAGCGGGCACGGGAATGGGCGCTCGCCGCTGTGCGTGCGCAGGTGACGCGTCAGGTCCGAGCTCCAGCTCAGGGGCTGGTTGCATTGCGGACACGGGAATGGCTCCTCGCCGCTGTGGCTGCGCCTGTGACGGCTGAAGTTGGAGCGGTGGCTGAAGTCCTTGCCGCACTGCGGGCACTGGTAAGGCTTGGGAAGGTCCGGGGGAGAAAGGGGTTGCCAAGGACAGTCGATGGCAGCTCAGGGAATCAGCTCCTTGCCCTCCAAACTGCACCCGTCGAGAATCTTATCAGAAGGCTCCCGGGAGGCCTCGTCCCCACTGGGCAAGGCTGGATAAAAGAGTCCCCGAGGTCTCCAGCCTCGCAGTCCTCCTTCCGAGGGGTAGGTGTTTCACGTATGTCACCTGCTAGGCGGAAAACAGAGGCCAGGTTCAGAGATGGGTGGAAATAGACAGGAGTGCACATCAAGAGAGTTGTGCCCTGGTGTTGAGGCTACCATTGACCCACTGGGCAAATCACTCAACAGCTATAAGACATTTTTCTCATCTGTAAAATGGGGGAGGGAGGGAGGACATACCTAACTGGTCTGTTAAGATGATTAAGTAGCTGCTTAATAAATATTTGCTGAATG